AATTGAATTATATTGTAGTGAACGATAACACTAATAAGGACAACCAAATATGTATTTGAATACAAAACTACAGAACATCTTAGTAAAGTCTGAGAACCATACAGTAAATAATCCATTTGCAAAATATCAGTCAATTGTTTCAGACTTGATTGTTCCTTCATTTCTATACCAAACATTCTCCATTCTCGTTTTCTTTTCTTCGGTCTTTTTAATCTTCTGTCCCCAGGCATTCCACTCTCGATTGACGATACATATTATTTATGTCTGTTAACATTAATAGCACACACCACAACATACATTCTTTGCAACTGATAGTTTCAACCAATTTATATGACATAATAGATATTTATTTTTAACTTCAGAATAACTGAAAGTTAGATAACAGTGAAGAGTTTAGGTTATTCTGTTAAGAGAAAACTTTGATGGTGTACACCTAAAACATTCTACTTAAATAAACTATGAACTTTCACGTTTTATGATAAGCTTGTTATGTTTAAATTAGTGAATCAGAATACAATGGTCTTTATTAGCAAATTCAATCAACTTTTGCAATTATACTATAATTAAGCAGAAAATCAATATAAACTAAATCAATATAGCCGTACAATGATCTAATAACATTGGTAATAACAGTCTAACTTAGAATACGGCTGAACTCTATGAATCATAACCTCTTACTAGAATTTTGGCGATCTATTTCAAATATAACTCTTTAACTATGAATTATGTGAAACATTAACAAAATAAGTTTACGACTGAGTGTTTTCAAGAGCGAATGATTTTTAAACAAACAGTTTATTTTAGAAACCTTGACAGATCAATCACAAGACATAGGTAATTTAAAAAATTATCTGAACAGACCGGGTTTTCTGTACATCAACATCACCGCAATGAACTAAATAAATCAAGGAAAAAGTCAAAATGTTTCCTGGCTGCAAAGAGAATTTTCATCTGTTATTTGCTTTAAAGTGTTTTGTTATGAAACTATTTATTACGCTAGGCTTTTATAATCAGTACACTTTTAATACTTGAGGTAATATTTAGTTGATTGGTTTTATGATAACTAGGAACAACTTATTATTGGTAGTAGTGTGGTGTGTGCTACTGATATCCATAGATATAAGTAGAATGTATCATCAATCGAAAGTGGAATGCCTTGCAGCAGAAATTTAAGAAGACCAAAGAAAAGAGAACGAGAACGAAGAATAGTTGCAATGGAAATGAAGGAACAGTGACATTTGCGATGATTGATTGACATTTGCAAAGAGAACCAGTCAAGTTTGAGACAATTGATTGAAATTTAGTAAATTAAGTGTTTACTGTATGGTTCTCAGATTTTACTAAGGTGTTCTGTAATTTTGTATTCAAATACATTCGATTGTTCCCACTTGTATTCTCGTTCACTACAGTAGCACGACGAATATCTATTAGAAAACATTGTATCACAAATCAGTTTGATTTAATTGAGCATTTGAAATCGATAGTTAATAACGGCAAATATTCTTATGTACAAAATATGAAAAGTATATACTTTATACGTTAAGTTACATTATCAGTAATAATGAATTTCAGTCAATCTATAGTTTAATGAAGATAGTGCGAGAATTTTTCGATGAAAAATAGTTTTCATATGGTTTAGTATATATTACTCAAATTGAAATAACTTTAAAATATCTACTATTTGATCCATAATCTTATAAGAGATACATACTACTTATGAGAATTGCTCTTGTTTCAATTTATTGAAAGATGTCACTAGTTTTTTTATATTAAGTACTATGCTCTTTAATAAAGAATGATAAGCCTTAAATTTGACATCGTTTAATTATATATTGTAATCTACTAATAAATGACTTGAAATATTCAATGAAGTATTGAAATGTGTAAAAAAGAACCCATAGAATATGGTTTTGTTTAAATGCAATCAATGAAATACTTTGCTCATTTATTACTTTACATGAAATCTCTCTTCTTAAAATCTCTTTTTTTAAAGTCTTAATCTTGTTTCTTTTATATGAAAACATATCATTATATGATTTTATGATGTTGTTGTTTTTTTAATATTTATTATGAATAATATAAACAAGTTACATTGAAATATAATAACGTTTAAGTTGAAAGTGATTTAGGGATCATTCACTGTTTACTTATATATATATATATATATATATATATATATATATATATATATATATATATATATATGACTATATTCACACCTTTAGTATACAACTAATCCTTCATTAAATGATGGGATTATCAAACTTGTAATCATCATTTCAATCCACTCATTTTAATGATGTACGAGGAATATATATATATATATATAAGTTTATTTTAGAGGAAAAGAGATGTGTGTGATAAATTTTAAAGAGGGGAATGAACTAATACTAACTTTTATCAAAGTTACGTAATAAATCACGATGTTTTTATAAAGTATTAAAGAAAGGAGACGATATGAATTAATATATTTTTAAAGTTTTCTCATAATAATTACATAATTTTAAGTTTATAATTATTACTAAGTTCAATTTAACTAGTCTTTTTAATAACTTAAAATATTCAGTTATCTAACAGGAATAGTGTAGTTCAGTTTGTTCTTTCATTATAGACTTAGTCAACTATACAAGCCACCAAGTTAGTTTTGATATGGGGAATTGTTCATTGATAAAGATGGGGTCATGGATGAATCAACCCGTGAATGTTCAAAGCTAAGAGAGTAATACCTGACAAGGTAATATTCAACAGTCATGAAACTGGTACACCTATAAGATACATTCTTGCATTGAACAATTCATCATATGACAGGCGAGCTCGGTTTACACATCAGTTCCTTTTAATTGTAAATTTGTAATAAAAATCAGATCTGTTAGTTTTCAACTGGTAACCAACGTGATTGATCAATAACAATCTAAAGCAAAAACCAATCGAAATATGTAGTTTGATCGATGACAGATGAGGATTAAATAATTCGTTTAATTAAGCTAAATATTTTTATTAAGATCATGAATCGATTGATGTTAGACCACCATTGAAAAGCTGTAAGCACTGGACAGCCGTTTCGTCACAGCATGGGACTCCTCAGCAGTGCACATGCACGATCCCTCACTCAGGATTTGAACCCAGAGCCTTTTTTCTCACGTGTGAACGCTTAACCTTCAGATCACGTTGAAGGCCTGGGTTCGGTTCTCAATCGAGAAGTCAGTTTTTATGGAGGTTAGGCGTTTGTGCGCGAGACTGGAGCTCTTGGGTTCGAATCCCGAGTGCAAGACCGTGAATGTGCACTAGTGAGGAATCCCATACTGTGACGAAACGGCTGTCCAGTGCTTACAGCTTTTCAATGGTGGTCTAACATCAATCGATTCATGATCTCAATAAAAAACTTAATATTCTTCACGACCCCATACTGATAAGCTAAATTTATTGGCTCCATTACTTAAACTTTTGTAATTTGTTTATATCAAATAATTAGACATATATTCTAGATCTGAATAATCTGTAAACAGCAATGATATGTATGGATTTTTTAAATCTAAAAATTAGTTTATTAATATTACATTTATCTAGCCCGCTAAACTATGATTAAATAATCGTCCTTCACAAAAATTACTGCATATGAATCTCTTGATTAAGTTTATTTTCAGAGTTTTATCTTGTTCAGCGGTAGATAAAAGATTGGAGTTCTTTAGTACTTTTAAGAAAAACTGTCATTTTCAGGTTTCGCTAGTCATAACGAGTTTTATAATTTAGATAACTGAGATAAGGCAACAAATAAGCTAGTCTGAATCTTTGTAGAAATAAAGAAAACTTTATGTCATCACTTTCGGCATATTCTTGAATATGTATGCTACTTCATAAACGGATTATCGGCGATAGATAATAAACGAATACCAAAATATTTTATGGTCTATATAACGAGCTTACCTTAGCCATAAAACTATAAAAAACCAAGAGGATTTGGACAGCTGTTTTGTTTTAGTATCAAACACAGCAGCAGTTAACACTCGCAGCCCCTCCTAGGACTGAGCTGGGGACACAGCCATTGTGACCGGCGCCTGACATTTAGACCGCTGGTTAACCAGTGAGTAACATTTATGATATTGACCAATTTGCGGCAATCCATAAGAATCTCCCAACGTCAATGTTAAAGGCTTCCCCTCCCCTAACGTAGTTGAATTTCACTGACCATGGTTTCTCATTAGAACTCTGTAAGTTAACGCTTCGAAATTAGTCACTAGTTAGCACATGATGATCAATAGTGTAAGGGGTTTATGGACTACATTAAAATAAATGTGAATTACTGGATGCTGACTCAGTGATTTAAAGGTTAAGCACTAGACAAGAGATGAGGTTTTCTTGGGTTCGATCCCTAGTGGGGTTATGAATATTCATCGTTGAGTACTACACTCGTACGAAACAGTTGTCTAATTCTTCTTGTTCTTCGGCGGTTTTAAGACCAACTTAGTTTGTTTAGCAAATTATAAAACTACCATTTACTTGGACTCCGTAAATTGAAAATACTAAAGCAGATATTTTTTCACCATGCCCTAATTTCATCAGTCAAATCGTGGAAACCGTGGAACACTAAAACGTACTTTTTTCTAGTTTGAGACTTCGCTTCCTTGCAAACTGACAACTCAAATTACAAGGCCCATAAACACACTGTCTATCTAGAATATAATGATCTATATTTTCGACTTCAGTGAACTAATAGGAATGCTGTTCTCATTCATTTTCTTTGCGGCAGAACTACGTTACCCTCGACGTTACTTGCCTAGCAGTTCTTCATTATTATTTCCATAAGTTGTATGGCATAGTTTTTGTGTGGAGAACTTGGTAAAAATAGGAAGCATCAACATAATTGTCTTGTCTTAGCTCTTCAAAAAAATTAATTCAGTAAATGAATTTTCATATGCAGTATTATGTTTATTTTCTACCTGAATTTTTTCTTAGAAAGTTTACGATATAAAACCTTATCTTCTCATTTTCTTTCCATGAAGCAATCAGATATAAAACAGCTTTAGATGGACGAACTGATTTTATTCATGCACCGAGCCCATCCGATATATTTTGTACCGTTCCTGGACGTCTATCATTACTCAGTTCAACTTCAAAATATAAAGTAACTGTTGCGGAAGTTCAAAGACGTCTGTCACCACCAGAATGTTTGAATGCTTCATTACTTGGTGGTGTTTTACGCCGGTAAGTTTTACAATTAACTGTCAGTTTGATTTTCTTTCAAACATATTTATAATTTCAGAAGGGATTTTTATGGATATTAAAGTAATTTCAATAGTTGAGATCATGAGTCAATTGAAGCTAAACTAATGATCTCAACTACTGAAATATTTGTAATTGTTATCATTTTACTGAAAATAATCATGAATTGTAACTGGAATACTAACGAAACAAACTGAAGCTTTACTTTTCAATAATAACACACAACTTTATGGAGACTACTGTAAAAGTGAACTCTTTAAATTATGAATGAAAACACTAGTATACTACCTTCTTTTCAAGAATAAAAACAAAGGAAATGACTTTAAAGATCTGTATCCAATTATATTTAATATCTAAACACTTTAAATAGTAAGCAATTTATGGTCTGTTACTTATTTATTTGTGAACGATTTGGTCATACAATCTTTTCCATAATCACTTATGGACAGGTGAAAATCTTAAAAAACGACTAATTTATTACCTTGAATACAAATTCTGAGTATCATCTTCAGAGTAATAAATTGACAGTGTTATGGTAAGTCATCTATTGAAAATCAGAACTAACAAATGTTTATTTTCGTTGTTTTACTCAAAAATAATTGACAAAATACAATGAGCCCCACTGATTAACAATCGGAGACCAGAGAGCACTAAATAGCATTCGATCTTCACGAAGAAGGACTTGACACATATGACATTGATCACCACCAAGTGACTAATCAATTGTGATTACATCTCAGTCCTACAGGAGGTCAGTCGTGGCCCAGATAGTTCAGTGGCAACGTCTCTGACTGTGAAGCTGGGTGACACGGGAATGAATCCGTCAAGGAGAACCAATTCCCTTAAGATTACAGGTACACCTTGCTGACGAGTGCCAAGTAGCACGAAACACGGGTCCATTGTTTCCTGTTGACTACCTCCAACCACCATCTGAGCACTGAATACAATTATGCCATCCTAGTCTGTAACATATCAACAATGTACACCCATAGTCACTGAAAACCTGAATCAAAAGTATGTTGTCCATTATCCTGACATCAACTATTTTTTTTTGCTATTTGATCTAAACGTTCATAGTTTAATGTAAATTTCATTGAGATATATTCATACTCAACAGATGTTCACTTCAAATTCAAAATTTTACACAGCAGGAGATTATATTATTTTGATCATTCGATCTCTTGTATCAATCATATTCTTTTCTTCTTTTTTTTTTTCAAAAAAAATGCGGATTATGCAACTAGTCATTTTATTGTTTTAAGTGGCTCATTAGAGAAAAAAAACTATATATGATCATTGTTTTGAAGTAAATAAAAATTGTCCAATGCCTTCAGGGTTTTTCATTTTATATTATCAATCTAATAACACTCTAATTTATTTTTTTTGGTTGTTGTTGTTGTAATAGTCAAACATCTCTAACATAAGCACATAGACACTCGAAAATTAACTACTTAATAAGTAAACTGATTGGTTACTGTGTGTTCATTTTAATAATTTATACTTTGATAAATGTTAATTAGTCAATATAAATCTCGTAGATATTTGATTAATAAATAAAATATGTCCTTTGAATAATAAGACAGTAAGGAATAATGTAGTTTGTTATTCATTGAGATCAAGAACCGATTGATGTTAGACCACCACTAAAAACCTAGAAGCACCGTTTCGTCCTATTGTAGGACTCCTCAGCATTACACATCCGGGATCCGAGCCCACGGCCCTCAGTCTCGCGGCCGAACGCTTAGTCTCTAGACCACTGAGCCAACATCCAATGGTGTTAGTGTCTAATATCAACCAATCCACGAAATCGCGTGACCATCTTCCATCGTACTGAGGTAAATAACTCTCTCTACCTGATATGGATTAGCTCCACTGGTTACAGCTTCTCATTAGAACTCCGAGAATTCCCTCACGAAGGTAGTCACTAGTGCGTACATGTTAATTATCAGTATAGGGTTGTGGAGATTATTAAGTCCAATAATCTCCACAACCCTATACTGATAATTTGTTATTCATTATGAACATAGCATTTAAAAGTGATATCCAAATAAAGCAATTTTATATAAAATTTGATCCGGTCTTTAGTAGGAACATAGAGTTTCTAGATTATTTAGTGTAATAAATAAATCTAACCTCCAAACAGCTTCAAGTCAGTAGTTTTAGCTTGTATGCAAGTTATTAGGCACGATGACTGAAAAGCTTTCAGTGTTATTTGACTTACACAATCAGTTCAAGAAATTATAGTAAAAACTTCTATTGAAATTATATTTTAAACTACTACGATCTTTCATTTGGTGGATCTGATTCAATACCATCTATACATCTAAGACTCATATCAGTTACTTCTATTGTTTGTTATGGATATTTTATTGCTATTATTCAAGTCTCTTTGACCTAGAATGAAGTGTGAATCTATTGATTTGATTTATTCCATTAGACTAATTTTGTGCAAAATAATATAAAGTACACTTAAATACAATATTTATACTAAAAGTATGTACCATTAGATCGTGGGAAATACGTTTATAAAGAAATTAGTAGCTTCAAGTCATAAACTTTACTGAATGTTCCAAAATGAAATTTAATAATGATCATCATATTTACTTTTTGTGATTAAATTTCATCAGAGCAAAATCTAAAAATGGAGGAAGATCATTACGTGATAAGTTGGACAAAATTGGGTTAAATTTACCAGCTGGACGACGAAAAGCGGCAACAGTTACTCTGTTAACTTCACTTGTTGAAGGTAAGTGCCTTTTCTATTTTTGATTGACTAAATACGATATAAATATAACATTTGCATGCATTTCATGTATGCACCATCAGATTTATAATTAAAAACTGTTAATATGCACATAAATGCAGTGAAATTTGGGTTTTGGATAGAATAATGACTGCCAAGTTATTAAATGAATTCTTCTACTGTATTTAATAATTAATTATGATAAAAATCTGACAAAATCATATAACATTAGTTTATTTAATGAATGATAAATTTTTAATAGGAACTTGAATGTTCCTTCTTTTCCACACCAATCACTCTCTATTTTCGTTTTCTTCTCTTCGATCTTCTTAACTTTCTGCCTCCAGGTATTTCACTTTCGATCGATGATACATACTACTTATATCTGTCGATATCAATAGCACACACCACAGTATATGTATAAGTTATTCATTGTAAACTTATATTTTTTCCTGTTGTGAAGTTGGAGTAAATGTTCCATCTTTCATTAGCTAGTACTCAGCTTCCCATCACTGACTTCTAATCATCCTGATAGTATCTAACAAAACCAAATAGAAACATGTAAATAATCCCACCCACAATTCGATGATTAATCTACTCATTTATTGTCTAACAAAATAATAATCAATGAACCGTAATAAACAAGAAAAAAGATGGGTATTTCTATTCTTCACCTGGTTCACATATAACACGTGTTTTCTTCCACGTATAAGGGTGTATACCTTAGTTCCATAAAACAAACATGATAAATTCAATAATTATCACGTTAAAGTAATTACATTTGAATTTTATATAGAATTGAAATAATTTTAAAATGAGAGAACTGTGAAAATTTCTAAATTTCTATGTTTTACAACGACATTCTACCATCGGTGAGGGATGATTAAAATAAAAAAATAAAGAAAAATCTCTACTTTATCTAATTTGTGATTATTAAAAAGAAAATGGATGAAATAAAAATGAGAAAACAACATATGATTGTTTACAGGAAAACATGTTTCTGCACAAAAAGATAATAACGGATAAGAAGAGATAAAAGCAACATCTAACTTGATAGAACATTATGAATTTATCATCAGTCATTCTAGGTAAAAACGAAATCAGTATTATACTCCAATTATTTAATTGACTTGAAGTTATGAAAGATATTTTTTCGAAGTGTTTGCATAACTTTTGTTTATAAATTATTTTTAATAGAATTTATTAAACGAACTTTAATCAGAATTGGATTGATGAGCTGATATTTTTTGATTGAGGTCATAAATCGATTGGTGTTAGACCACCATCGAAAACCTGGAAGCACTAGACGGTTGTTTCGTCCTATTATGGGACTCCTCAGCAGTGTGCATCTAGTCGTGGGATTTGAACCCAGGGCGTATACTGATAATTATCATGTGCGCACTAGTGACTACCTTCGTGAGGAAATTCTCGGAGTTCTAATGAGAAGCTGTAACCAGTGGAGCTAATCCATATCAGGTAGAGACAGTTATTTACCTCAGTACGATGGAAGATGGTCACGCAATTTCGTGGATTGGTTGATATTAGACACTAACGCCATTGGATGCCGGCTCAGTGGTCAAGTAGGTTAAGCGTTCGGCCGCGAGACTAAAAGTCCTGGGTTGGGATTTGGAATAGGGGATCGTGAGTGCGCACTTCTGAGGAGTCCCATAATAGGACAAAACGGACGTTGAATGCTTCCTGGTTTTTAATGTTGGTCTAACACCAATCGATTCATGATCTCAATCAAAAACTTAATAATTTCCACAACCCTATACTTGTGATATTTCTTGGTAGATTTTAAAGTATTTCTAAATAATTAACATACATAAATTGGATTAAGTTTGAAATGTAGATTTTGTTTTATATTTAGACTGTTTAATGGTATATTTTCTTGACTTCATAGACTGGACAGAAAGAGTATAGTTTTTGTCCAGTATATATCGGTTACAGAACTGAACTTCAATTACATTTGATTGAAGTCATAAACAATCTAACGGTATTCTTTTAATTTTCAATCTTTGTTCCAAAATAACAACAAATTCGTTGTATCAAATAAAATTAAATATTAGAAGAGACAAATTAGTTATTGGATTATTTGGGACAGCTCTAGTTGAAGGAACAATTTATTTGTTTGTTAATTATCAATGAATTTGAATTATGTACCTTATCAGCCAAATGATTTCATGAGTTTGTTTAGTTAGATCATTCAGTCGACAGTTCAAAAGAGGATCTAGTGTCAAATATATATATATATATATATATATATATATATATATATATATATATAGAATTCAACTGTTTTAATAAATTTATTGTTTAAAAATGTTCGCTCAGAAAAAGGCGTAATTTCAAATACTAAAAAAGTTATTTCAATTAATAATTTCACTGAAATTTTCATAAACCATAGTAATTATCCCAATTATTTCCTTTTACTTAAATGACCATAATGACTAACAAATAAATAATTTATCATGTCTATGATAATAGTGACAATTATTTTTTTTCTTTTTCTCTTCATTCAACTCTGTAATTAAAAAAAAGGTAGAAAAAAATTGCGAGAAAATTTCAGAATTTCATTGATTTTCTCCGCTATTTAGATCTGTACGTCTGTAGTGTTCAATTCTAAGAGATAATTTATTTTACCTATCAAATGAATATGACATGAAATAGACATTTTTAAAACTGAATCGTTAGAGCTTATAAGTTCCAGTTGTAGTCTACAATTAATCAGTCTATATTGTCAAATCTACATCTTAAACAGATTGCTTCGATATAACCTTTAATCATAGTGCTTTACTATATTTGATATATAGCTAGTAGAGAAATCCAGAAAACACATATCATCCGGTTTACTACCTTAGTAGAGTGAATTTTTACATTTGGATTCTATTGAAAAAGGTGATGAATATACTAATGTCTTTTTAATGCTACACTCTTGTATTAGATGAAAAAATTTTAAGTGACTACAAAGCAATATTATCAACTATTTCTACAAACGTGAGCAATGTAAATAATTTTTAGTGCCTTTGTCAGTGATGCTTAGTTATGATAAGTTATTTAAACAGTTGACGGGAAATAATTTGCTTGTAGTTTCTAAAATTGTTATCGTTAATCAACTAACATACAGATTTAGTTTATCTGATATAAATTTTATGTTTAAGTTAGTACTCTTTACCAGTTTCTTCGTTCATATTATTACTAATGGTTAGGTTTTTGACTTTAAAGTGAATTGAAAGTGATCTTACGGACTCTATTAATAGAATATACTTGATTAGTATGTCTATGAATAGATTATTCATAAATATTATTTGACTAGAAGATACAACAATTAGTGCATATCTGAAGCCATATTATTAGATATTAGATACTAAACTACCTACTAATGTGTTTACAGTTACAATTCTATCAATATAGGACTTTCTAGTAAATATTGTTATATTCTCATAGTCTAAGTTATGGAACGGAAATCTTGAGTTTATCTCAAGTAGAGTCGTGAAAACTCACTGCTGAACAATATATGAGGATGAAATAATTGTTTACTGCTTCCAAGTTTTCCGTAGTGACATAGCTAAGATCAATAAATGGTATAAACTATGGAATTTTCATTTTATTTGAAATGTATTGTTAAACTACATGTCTATTAAATTAATTGAATATTACATACATATTAAAAATCAAGTCATTAAATAGCTTATTTAACCTATTACCCTCATACTTGTAGGAATTATTTTACATAGGTTTTGTAAACCTTTCTCATTTCTATTTGTCTTCCTAACTTGATGTGATAATTTAAAACTTATGTCGTCTGCGAAATAAATGCAGCCTGTCTACACTAGTACTGAATAAAAATAGAACTATTCCATACTATTTTTTTGTTTTCACATGCCAATCAGATTCGATTTATTTATATGGTATATTTAGTTGTTCAACTGGAACTCCTCTCTTGAAGAAATATCGAGCCATCTGACGAATCACTGTACAGTTGTCTTACGCTTATTTTAAGATTTTATAACAATGCAAATACGAACTGACTGGCGATAAAAACTAAGAGACATTTGGTTGGAAGTCACTACTTGAATAATATCATGTTACCTAAAAAAATTTAAAGTTAAACTCTAAATTTAATTGTAAATGAAATTACATCTATCATAGAAAGAAGTTCAGAACGAATCTCTTTTTCTTCTTCTTCCTCTTCTTCGTGAAAAATCCACCTGTTGAAAGTAGCATAGATTAATGAAGAATGAATTTTTTTTAGATTTGTGTAATCGTTGCTTGTTTCTTCTCCTTTGTTTGTGTACCAATAATAATACTTTTCTACGTGAATTGAGTCTAATGGTTTTAATATTCATTTTATAGATTTTTAACAATATGAACTTAAAATCTTATATTTATTCAATGAAAATAATATTTGGGAAATATTATAGACATTTTATGGTTCATTTCATTGATGGTACCGTTGTGAAATGACATTTTCTCCTTCTTACTCTTTTCTTTGCTAAAGTTTACTAGAACTATATAAATTAACTAAGACCTATAGAAGATGTAAAGTAAACATCAGCAAAGAAAAACAAAAGGTTAAACTAAAACTTAATGATTAAGATAATTATTAGGTGTCAACTAATCATCCATTAAATTTCTTTATTTTTCTGTGGAAATATTCATTATTCCTCAAAGTGAAAAAAAAGTCATATATATGATTAATTATTCAATTCAATGCTCTGTTTCTTCTTTTATGTTTTTCAATTAAATGTTATCCGATATGTTAGTTGATATAATTCTATCGATAAAGTATTCTGAATCTAGGCTTTGTGTGTAGCTGATTTGCTTCAGCATTTAGTACTAAATCTATGTGAAGGGCTTTCTCTTGATTACATTTAACTAATTACCTTTACTAAATGTTAAGTTCTTTGAACTAGTAGTTACAAGGTAAATATATCATAAAAATTTGATCAAGACGTCGGTTATTATCCAGTAATCAATATTAAAAGGTGAGACCACATTTA